CCAGTCGGGTCTGTATAACCCTCAAGATGAAATGTGGAACTGCGGTGAAAGGTTAGACCATGAGTGAGTGCACCTTGAACATGCCAGAGAACCCTCTTACAGGCTTGCCAATGAGTGATAGTGGGAGCTTTGAGAAATTGGTTGAGTTTATTTACAGCAAAAGAGAGATCAGGCCTGGTCATGGTAAGATATTGCAGAGCACCAATGAGACTTCTGTAGAGGGAAGGCTGTTCAAAGAGAGGACCATCCTCAAAATGTAGCTTGGATCCAAGAACCATAAGAGTGGCACACGGGTTGCAGTCTGTCATGCCAAATTTGGAGAGAATTTCTTGAGCATATTTTGCTTGATTAAGTTGTAACCCATATGAAGTATGAACAATAGAAATGCCCAAAAAATAATAAACAGAACCAAGAATCTTTAGACCAAATTCAGTATCCAAAGCTGACACGATGGAGTGAATAAAGGAGGAATTATTGCCAGTCAATAGTATATCATCAACGTAAACAAGAAGATACATAATCATGGCATCCTGAATAAGATAGAAGAGACTAGAATCAGAAGTGGAGTTCCGAAAACCTTTGCTCAGCAACACAATTTTAAGTTTATCAAACCAAGCCCTGGGAGCTTGTTTTAAACGGTATAAAGCTTTGTGCAACCGGCAAACATGATGAGGTTTAGATTGATCAATAGGTTGTGTCATGAAAACATCTTCAGTAAGATCACCATTTAGGAATGCGTTATTTACATCTACTTATTGATTCTCCCACCCATTGTGCATGGCTAAGCATAGGATGACTCTAATGGTGGAAGCCTTAACAACCGGAGAAAATGTTTCTGAAAAATCAATACCAGGAGTTTGATGAAAACCCTTAGCCATAAGATGTGCTTTGTAATGCTGGAGACTGCCATCAGCATTTAACTTGACTTTGAAAACCCATTTATGACCAATTAAAGTCATATTATCAGGATAAGGGACTAAAGTCCAGGTGTGATTTTTTTGTAGTGCAGTAAACTCAGCAACCATGGCCTGAACCCAAAGAGGATTTTGTAATGCAGTAGTGACAGATGAGGGTTCTTTATGAATCTCAAAGGAAAGGGAGGGATTAGGAACTGGGTTTGTGCATTCAGAGATAAAGGCAGCAGCTTTCCTGCTGGTTAGCATAGGATGGACATTTAGTGGAGGAATATGGGAGGGCTGAGAGGAAACGTTATAGGCTTGGAAATCAACTTCCAAACATGGTACATGTGGTTTTGGAGTAGGTGAAGGTATAATGGGAGTATTATGGGCAAATGGCTCAACATCGGTCAAAGAGGTTGAAGGAGCTGAAGAAAGTTTGAGTAGTTTGAGACAAAGGCTAATGAATCAATGATGTATGAGGAATTTTCCAGGCCTGAGACAAAAAACAAGAGTTAGTATTTGTAGATACATCAGAATTGGTTAGTGAAAAACCATTTGCAAAAGGGAATATTTGTTCATTAAACTTGACAGTTTGAACCGTGTAAACTTTGCCTTGAGCATTGAGGCAGAGATAACCCTTGTGATGAGAACTATAACCCAAAAGAACACACTGTTCTGAGTGAAAAGAAAATTTATGTTGTTGATAAGGTCTAAAGAAAGGAAAACATTGACATCCAAAAATGCGAATAACTTTATAGTTTGGAACTTTATGGAAAAGCTTTTGAAAAGGTGAGATGTGGGATATAACTGCAGAGGGAAGACAATTTATTAGATACATAGTAGTGTGGAAGGCAAATCACCAATACTTAAGTGGCATAGAGGCTTGAGCTAACAATGTTAATCCAACTTCTGTCACATAGAGGTGTTTCCGCTCAACCTTTCCGTTTTTTTGATGGATATAAGGGCAGGGATGTTTGAAATGAATACCCTGCTAAGCAAAATATTCAGCAAGAGGATGAAATTCACCTCCCCAATCTGATTGGAAGGTCTTAATCTTGCCATCAAACTGCTGAGTCACTAATGCAACAAATTGTTGAACAATATTGTGTACTTCAGATTTCAGTTTTAGAGGATAAATCCAAGAGTAGCGTGTGAAGTCATCAACAAATAGTAAATAATACTTGAAACTAGTGGCTGAGGTAATAGGTGCAAGACCCCATACATCTGCAAAAACAAGTTCAAAAGTTTGGCTTGATTGAGAAGTTGATGGAGGAAAAGAATTCTGGCGAAGTTTACCATACTGACATGCTGTACAGAATTGAACTTTATTAATAGATTGATCCTTTACATTCAAAAGTGTAACAAGAGATTTGAGAGCAGCTACATGAGGGTGACCAAGTCTATAGTGCCACAAATCTCCATCTTGTGTAGGACCAGTTTGTTCAACATTATTTGCAGGTATACTAGGTGAAGTACAAGTGACCAAACAACTTGTTGGATTATACACAATATCAGCATCTGAAGGTAAAATACTAGAACAATCAGAAGATGTAACATAGGTTGCTGAGAAGTCATGATCCATGGATTGATGCAGAGAAGACACCATAGCATGTTTATCCGTTGAGTTTGAAGATTGAGCAGAAGTTAGTGCTAAACTTGTGACTTGTTTATTGTCGGCAGAATCTAAAGGAATGGTAAGTTGGTAGAGACCATTGCGAATAGTTCCTCTAAGTGGAACCTCCTGAGTTAGCTTGTCCTTAACAACACATTCATCAGCAAAGAATTCAACTACCACATGATTATCTTTTGTAATTTTGGAAATACTAAGTAGATTCTTAGTAACTTGAGGAACACAGAGTATATTTCTTAGCTGCAATGATTTATTTACACAAGAAGAATGGATAAATGCCAAACCTATGTGTGAAATGTCAAGGCATTGACCGTTGCCAACCTGAAGAGAGTCTGATCCTGTATACTAATTTTTATAAGGAAGATGCTGAGGATTTGATGTAATATGGTGAGTGGCTCCAAAGTCAATGAAGCAGGTAGGATCAGTCACTGTAAGTGGTGTTGCAGTTGAGGTTTTGTGATTACCAACAGGAAAGGTTATTGCATAAGATTGATTCGGGTTAAGAGAAGAAGACTGAATTAGATGTGAGGTATTCTGAAACTACATTTGATGAGGAATCACTGGTGAAATCAGAGGGAAAGGCTGTGGTGCGCCATAAGGAGCATATGAGCTGGTTGTATTTGCAAAGTAAGCCTGTGCAGAACCTACGTGTTGTGTGGACTGTTGTGGATTGCCATAGTGCATGCTAAACTAAGGTTGGTGATTTTGATGTCCTTGAAAGTTTGTGTCGAATCGATGATAACATTGAAGAGCTATATGACCTGGCTTTCCACATAATTGGCAAATCAGTTGCGGCTTGTAAAAGTTTCGTCCTCTACCTCTGCCCCTGCCAAAGGCTGGATTGAAGGTTTGAAACTGCTGAGTGTTGTTATAGATATTCTTGTATTCCTCCTGATGTGAAGGTAGAGTTTGTGTGTCTTGTGGTGTTTGTTGATCTGTATTGTTCATTTGCATATTTTGGGGTGGAGAAGACGATTGTTTGTGAGCAAGAAATGTTGCAGCTTCATGAAAGCCTAAGTAAGCTGAATGTTGCTTTTCTAACCTCATTTCGTGTTTGTGCAGTAGAAATTGTTCTTCCTGTAGGGATACTTCGCTGCTTCTTGACGTTAAGGTGGCAACCATGGCATCATATTCAGAACCAAGACCATTAAGAATGTAAAGCACTAGCTCTTCATCACTAACAGTTACACTACTAGTGGTTAAGAAGCTAGCAATTTCTTTCATCTTTAGCACATAGTCGTTTAAACTTGAGTCATCCTTCCCAGTTGTTTGTAATTGATTTCTTAAATGCAGCACTCTAGCCTTAGAATCAGTAAGAAAATGCATCTCTAAAGTATGCCATATATCATACGCAATATTACAGTTTACTACATGCCGGAACATTTTTTCGAAAATTGATGAATTTAACCAACCAAACAAGAACTGATCAACTTTCTTCCACATTATATATTCAGAATTTACTTCTTTTTTGGATTCATAAACAAGAATAAAGGATGAGGGATAGGATTTTTCACCTGTTACAAAACCTTCCAGATCAAAAGCTTTCAAGGCTGGAAGCCCCTGAGATTTCCAGTATGCATAATTTCTTTCTCCTAGTTTTACAGAAATAGTTGGAAGCGTATTGCTTAAAGGTGAGGTTGACATGGAGGTTGTTGTCATTTCGTCTACAACTGAAGCTGAAGAAGAAGATGCCTTAGGATCTGTCATTGATATTTGTCGGCAGCTTTGATACCATGTGAAGAAAAGAGTAACAGAGAAAAAAATGCAGAAAAACAGAGTATAAAGAATACGTGTTTATATTTCTTTCTTAACAGAAAAATTTTCATGCATGAATCTTGACAGTGACTACAATTTATACACAACCACTTGATCTTTCAAACAATCTTCTCCGTTGAACTTATTCTTCAGCTGTAATCTTCCACCATTAGATCAACAACTTGCTCTGCCACTTGAGCTCCGACTTGCATTTTGTTGGAAAACACATAACGTGTTGAATTGAAAAACTGGCGCTAAAACCCAACTTGCTCTAACTAATTTATTGTAAAAAGACAAAAAAAACCGGCATGAGTTTTCTCAAAGTTGCAGCTTGCTTTGCATGGTAACATGGTTAACAGTACCCCAAGTTCCAATTATGTCAGATTCCCACCCAAGGTTTTGCTTTATTTCTTTGCATGATTTTTTTTCTTTTGGCTATAATGGCTAGAGGTTTTCCTAATTTGTATTGTATGTTATGCATCTTTTTTCTTCATTTCAGTGTATTGATTTCTTTTGAAGGGTTAGTCTCACATGTTCCCCCAACTAGGTGTATCTTTCTTTTTTACAAATTTCGTCACATCGTCAAGGATTACCCTAAAAAGATTAAAAAAAAAAAAAAAAAAAAAAATTCTGCCTAGGTTCTTTGTCAATTTTATTATCATATATCAAGGTAACGTAGGTTTTCTTTTTAATTGTTTTTGTTTTGACACATATCTGCCTTGGTGCCTGCGTATGGTATGCGATTCATGGCCCTTTTTTAAGGAATTTTCAGCCGATGGGAAATTTACAAATCAATCATCTGATAAGAGAAGAAAAATCATATTGGACAGCCCAAATTTTCAGGGCAGACTACCATCTGCAACCTTGGAAAACAGTCTTCCATCTCTGCAGGAGGAATATGGTTATGATCCCTGTATAACTAGAGGATCATATTACAAGGAAGCCAATGATTGTTTGCTTTCTCTGAAAACATCCATTGAAAACCTTCATCAGAAGAATCTGTTTCTATATAATCCAGAAGTGCTTCTAAAACGGTGTCATCTTCACTCTACTTCCATTGCATTTTTAATTTACTATCCTATCCCTTTTGCTTTCTATAAATGGTTTATCTTCGTTCCTTTCGCATCTTTTGTTTGAAAACGAAGTACTTTGTTTTGTTTACTTGGAAAACTATCATCAAATTTAAGTAAGCCATGTTTCTAAATTAGGTCAATGCTCCCTGTAGAATATGGATTAATAATTAAAAACATTCTTAAAAAAGTACATGGATTCCCTGAATTGATGATCAATTTTTGAAAGAATCTCTTGGATTATTGCTGTTATTGTTGTAAATAGTTAGTTAGTCAGTTGGATAATTAGTTACTATTTAGATTAATTAACTGTAGTAAGATTAACCATGGTTGCTGATATAACTATGGTTACTTATTCTTGTATATAAGTGTACTGTTGAGCTTTAAGAAACATGAATAAAACTCTCAACTTTACTCTCCCAGTAAGCTGAATTCGCACATGGTATCAGAGCAGGTTTTCAATATGCCAAATCAATGAGCTTCCATTGAAAGAATCAAGCTCAAAATTGAAGATCCTACTTCAAGATCAGCTATTTGTCTTCATCAATTCATCAATCTTACCTCTAATTTTAGCTCAACCAACTCAACCCTAAAGATTCAATATGTCGAATGTCAGTGATTCAAGCTACCTTTATACATCCATTCGTCAGATACTCTTGGTTCTATCCTAGTTTCAGAGCAACTCACTGGAATGGAAAACTATGGAATATGGAGTCGCGCAATGACAGTTTGTTTAAGAGCAAAGAACAAATTAGGTTTTGTGGATGGATCTTGTGAAAAATCAAATTATAATCAGTCTTCACATGTGCAGTGGGAACGATGTAATTTATTAGTTCTAGCGTGGATCTTTAACACTATTTCGAAGGAAATTTTTAATAGTATCGTTTACTCTACTGGTGCCTATCAGGTCTGGGAAGATCTCAAGGAACAATACAACAAAGTTAATGGCACAAGGGTGTTTGGTATACATAGAGAGATAACGAATATGGTGCAAGGAACAAATTCAGTCGCAGTCTACTACAACAAGCTGAAAACCTTATGGGACAAATTAAGTTCATTAGTAAGTCTACCACCACCAGACAGTGAGTCAGCAAATGCCTATTTGGCTTATCTTAACCAGCAAAAACTACTTTAGTTTTTGATGGGATTAACCGAATCATATGCCTTGGTGAGAAGCCAGATTCTATTGATGGTTCCTCTACCCTCAATCAAACAAGCGTACTCAATCGTGAGTCAAGATGAGAGTCAAAAGATTTTGACTAGATCAAATCCAAACACTGAGGTTACTACAACACTATATTCACAGGGAAATCAAAGAAATCAGGGTCATAATTCAAAGTACAAAGGCAAGAAGCCTTACGTAGAATGTGATTACTGTCACATTGCAGGTCATAAAAGAGATACCCGTTACAAGTTGCATGGGTACCCAACAGACTTTCAGTTCACTAAAGGAAGGGCAGGATCAAAGGTTAAAGCTAATCAAGTGAATGCAAGTCAAGAACAAGCTTCGAACAATGACTTTACATCTAACAATAGCAAAGGAGGTACCAATCTGGGAAACATTTTAACTCTAGAACAATATGCACAATTGCTACAACTATTGGGGAAGAAGAATGTGGGAACGCCATCTGCTAATTTGGCAGGTAAAATCATTTCCTTATACTCAAATTGTAACATCATGGATGATTGGATTCTTGACTCTGGGGCCACTGACCATATGACCCATAATTTCAAAAATTTTGGGTCTCATGTTATTCATGGTTATAAAATCGTGTATCGTATCGTATATCGAAAACCTAATTTTTTGAATCGTGTATCGCGTATCGTATCGTATCGTAAGATACGTCTTTTTCAAAAAAATTAATAAAATAATCAAAATTTTCCAAAAATTAATATAATCCCCAAGATTAATTAAAGAATTTTGTGGCATTATTGACTTTAAATTACGGTATTACATAATCAAAATTAATCACAAAATTCCAAGATAAATGTCAATATCTATATCTCCACTTATATTATTATTATCATATAAAATGGGCAATACATATTCCTCTTTACTTTCTCCATGCAAAATAGGTAAATTTGGATAAGTTCTAGTGAATCCGGTTGGATGACCCGGTTTCGACCTGAATTTTTTTTTTGGACATTTGGCCCAAATTAATAAAGTCGTATCGATTTATATCGATATTTTTAAAGATATGAACGGATACGTATCATATCGTAGGATACATATCAATGTATCGAATAGTTTAGGATACACCCTCTGATACATATCGTTGGCGACCTGTATCGAATCGTATCGTATGATACGTATCGGGTATCGTAGGATACTAACAACCATGATGTTATTAGTAAGCCACCCGTATCTAGCTTTGTTAGTCTCGCAAATGGAACAAAAACTTCAATTGCACAAGTTGGTTATGTCAAATTGCAAGATCATTTGTCTCTTGAAAAAGTTCTATACATACCAGATTTCAAATACAATTTGATATCAGTGTCTAAACTAGCCTCTGACAATAATTGTTGTATTAAATTTTATCCGGATTTTTGTGTTATCCAGGATCTTTGGAGTGGCAAACTGAAGGGGATTGGTAAGCAATGCCAAGGGCTCTATCATTTCATGTGTTTTTCAAAATTACAAATATGTTTTCTTGATTTTATTTCAATTTTCAATAAAACCGTAGGTATTCAAGAGTATGATCATTGTAATAGAAAAATAACATGACACGACCCGTCCCGAATTTCCTCATCCTATAGGATCCGGGCGCTCCCACAAGACTCGGATACCCGAGACATGCCATGTAGAAAAACTGAGAAACCTGTTAGAAGACCTACTTTTCCTGAATAACATCATAGTATTTTCATTTCCAACATCTCAAAAAAAAGACATGCATCATCTTCGTTTTACAAAAGAAAAAAGTTAGGGAAAATTGTGGTATCAGGTTTTCCACTTATATTATACATTCCAAAACATGAAACAAAAGGAAATACATGATGGGAAACATGAGTTCTTGAAACAAAAGTCCAAAATACAATGTGACATCAATATAAAACCCACATAATAAGATGTTGACGCATGGCACAGCCCTGAGCGGAGTCTCACTGCTCGGCACGATCTCCGAAAGGTCCTGGTGAGGGGGGGGGGGGGGGAGGCCATTTAAAAAGGGGTGGGCCGAAAAACCCAGTGAGGGGGGGAAAAGGGAGGTTTATAAAAGTTCTTAAAAAAAAAGAAATAATAATAACATACAACAATTCTTAAGCAAATCCTGACGACGATATAATTCTATGAACATGCAATGGAAACAACCATCCCATTCATGTATGCAATATGTGATTTATTTCTAACCATCCTGCACTCAATAAACTATACTCTAACTTACTTCCTTTAGCTGTATCGGATTCTGTATAAAAACCTCAACATTTGGTATTAAAAACTCTCACCACAACTAGTACCCTGGGGAAAATCTGTCATACCTGGTAGGCGTCTCACACGCAGGCAGAGCGAGGGACGTACCTGTCATACCCAACAAGGTCTATCATCGTGCGGGCAGAGCCTAAAAACTGTCATACCTGGCGGACCACTCAACGCCTAGGCAGAGCACTGATAACTGTCATACGCATGCGCAGAGCCAAAATCTGAAACTGTCATACCCGGCAGAATCCTGCATCGCTCGGGTAGAGCCAAAAATCTGTATCTCTGGGGGATGGGTACTCCGTAGGGTGGTTTTAGCACCACAACATACTCATGCATAATCTCAAGTAACATGTAAGTCAAGAGTATATTATGTAGATCATACATATATGACATAAAAAATCACATATAGGGGTGAAGCTGAAATTTTCTAAACATGTTTCAGAAACTGACGGTTTAACCTAGATTGAAAATTATTTCAACATCACATGATCTTAGTATATAACCAATACAAATCATAAGTAAATATCACTTTTAAAAGTCAAAACTCATATAACACATTATAATGATAATTAAACCCAAGAGCAAAAACAATAATAACAATAATAATAATATTTCATATAAGGATAAATCATGCCAACATATGAGATTTCATGGAAAAAAAAGGGGTAAAATTCAAGTTTTTAAAACATACTTTCAAAACTAACGAAAAGCACCTCATTTCCCCTTTTTACCGAGAATATTATTTACCACATCATATATATATATATATATATATAACCTCACATGCATAGCTCAGCACACCATGGGAATCAATTTTATCAAAGGCAGTCCAACTGGAAGCATGCAAGTGTATTCAACCAACCAACTTTTAGTCCAAATACATAACTCAAGCACCTCTCAAAATGCAGTCCAACCGAGGGCATGCAACCAAAAATATGCAGCCACCATCACAGTTTATTGAAACAACCAAATGCATGCAAGTTCAATTAGCAAGCAAATTCATTTCATTTTAAAAACTCAAAACAGCCACTCTAGAATCTATCCAAAAACATGCAAGGAAAAATAAACCAAGCAAGCTTCACATTTAGCTCAAACCTCATCAAAATACAAAAATGGCATACTAGAAATTAACATGCAAGCATAGATCTGAAATTTTAAGGAAAGTTTTCATTAAAACCACACACTCTTCTAATCCTATAATTGGTTGCCTATTACAGTGCTTGGATTTCGATCTCCACCATTTAGAATGTAAAGTTGTGTTTCATGAACAACATATCCAAAAATCAGAACGATCGGATGACAAACAAGCTCCAGATCACGATTTGATGATGCACTGTTCACAGACTCAAAAACTAATATATCTTCTCCCTTTCTCTTTGTTCTTCCTTTTTCTTCTCTTCCTCTCTCACTCTAACTCTCGGCCGAACCCACTCTTTCTTCTCTTTTTTTTTTTTTTTTTTTTTTCCCCTTTCATTTCTTTCCTCTCTTCTTTCTTTCTTCTGCTCTCGTTTTCCTCTTCTTCATTTGGGCGAACTGCCCAGTTTTCTTC